ATGAGAGAAGAAGAGGCAGCTATGCAGCAAATACACAGAATAACTCCAGCTTTGTGTCTTTTTCATTGCAGCTGAAGTCCGGGACAAACTGTTCCTTTTCACCTCAATATGAAACACGCAATATTTTCTCTGAATACCAGACCATTCCGTTTTTTACGGGACGGTTGGAAACTCTAATAACTAACCTTATAAATAAAATAAGATAAAACAAGTTCAACATAAAATAAAAAAAAAGATAGCATTAACACTTTGAGCGTAGTTACAGTTAACAGTGAATATAAATAACTAAAACTGAATATATTGCATAGTGTTATCTCCCTCCACTATTAACAAATGGTTCAGCCCATAGCCCAGACCACCTTATTTCTTGTTTCAGTAGCAACCAATGCTTATGATTGTGCCAGAGCACATTTTGAACTACACCATGGGAATTTCAGATTTCACATATGTGGTTGGTTGTTACCCTCTGGAAATTGAATGAAGGTGAGTGTTATTAACCGTCAGGGGTCCACAGGCATGCTGCACCTTCAAATCACATGACCTTAAACTGACACATCAAAAAACTGCAGCCACGCTGAGTCTCTGTTTTTGCCCATGTTGAAAATCCAGGGGCTATGATCTAATTTATATATATATATATATATATATTTACACACACAGGAACAAGCTCTGAGCACAAGTCCATAGAGGCTGGGGTCTATCACACCAGGCAAGACCCTAGGTGCAGGCTGTGTACCCATATGGAAAAGATGTATATAAATCTTATAAAGTTTGTATCTGTCTTGTGTGAAACTTGTATGAAAAGCATACAAGAGTGAAAACAGATACAAGATCCCTTGAAAAGTTATATAAATGAAATTTGTATGTTTTGGATACTTCCTAAAACAATATATGAAAGTAATGAGAAAGTGGCCACTTTCATGAGTAAATCATATAAGCCTTATATGATTCACTATATGAAGCAAGCCAAATCTGATGCAAGTCTTTGATAAGTTTTTTCTATTTCTTTTCCATATGGGTAAAGATGCCCCTGAGACGATCCAGCACATAACAGTAGGCTGCAAGATGCTAGCAGGCAAGGCATACATGGAACGCCATAACCAAGTGGCTGGCATAGTGTACAGGAACATCTGTGCCAAGTATAACCTGGAAGTCCCGAGGTCAAAATGGGAG